AAGTCGCCATCCGGTTGTTGTTCAAAAAAAGTTACGATGCCGTCAACAAATGTAATGGCTTGTGCATAGGATAACGGCTCTGTCTCCAAATCTCCATCATCTGATTCATTTGACTCACAATTCTTTACGATTGAAATGATTTCTTCGTCCGTTGGTATTTCACGAGCGATTACATTGTCATCAATTACCATATACTCTTCGGCATCCATTGGTTGATCAAGAGGCAATTGCTCAATAAGATCTTGAATTTCTCCGATAACATCAACTACAGCTGGTTCAGAATCGTCATTCAAATATTCGTCAAGAAAACCCTCTGGTAGAATGCTGGTTTTCATCCAGCAATTACGTATTGTCTCTTTAGTCACGTTTTCCCAAGCAGTACTCATGAAATTGATCGCATCTTTGATGTTTATTGATTTAGGGAGCTCATTCATAGTGTCAAAGGCGTCTATACGATCTTCACAGAACACTTTTTTATAGTGCGCCTATTTTATTATAGTTAGTACTATATATGTATAACAAGTGGTGTAAAACCCGCATAAAACTTGCCTTAAAACTCCAAATTATGCCCGCATCACACGGTTGGAGGTGTGCAGTAGTGTTCGGAGGAAGGTAGTGAAGTCTAATATTTGACGGTTTAAAGTTTTCTTCGAGAGAGTGTGTGGAGGAGTTGTCTAAAAGTAGAAGAATTGAACGGCCAGCCCGTTTCATTTGGTTATCGAGTTGCTTTATATAGTGATTAAATATGGATGCTTACATCCAAGCAGAGCTGTTCCAATAATAGTGCACTGGTAAAGTAGACCTGTCGATGTTGCGAAGTGGACGAGGATTTTTATATTTATATATTAATAAAGGAGTAAGCTTGTCATTGCTGGTGGCATTGCATGCAAGTAAGATCGTAACTCGGTCTTTAGACTTTTTTTTCCCAGAAATCGGACCACTTGCCAATGATTTATCAGGATCCATTCGCCAATACAACCCTGTCTCATCCGCGTTATAAACATCTTCAGGCCGATAGCTCTTAATTATTTCGCGTAGCTCAGATTGAAACTGGGAAATTTTTTCAAGAGGAGCACTGGCACCTTCACCTTGCAGTTTATATTCTTTTATATGATATCGTTTTTTAAAATTTGTCAACCATCCTTTGGAGGCGTTAAAATCTTTTATATCGAGAGCTTTTGCAAGTTTTT